AAAATGAGAGTTTTCAGTTGATAACTGATCCGTCTATGGATATTACCTATTTCATACCGGTTTTTCAATAACGGAATGTGTGGAGTCTCCATCATTTTGGGTGTGGCCAACTGTAAGGAACTTATGTGTAGTTTCTCTAATCTGAAATGTCTGTACTGCATAAATGAGTGTTGCTATCAAAAATCTGAAATAAAGAAGAAAAAACATTGAGAGAATTCCGTTGAATTAAATTTCTAATTCTTACCTATTTTTTTGTTGTGCTGCACAATTGTCGCTATACAAGACTATTTTCAAATTTGAAGAATTGATGCTTTTGGGCTTATGCTCTAGATACATTAAAAGACATGAAGCTACTTAGGTCATTCCTTTTCCGCCTTGGCCTTCATGCCATACAAAGCACCATGTATTATCCGCTACCAATTCAGTGATAGTTAAGCTCATTGTATTTAGTTTTGATCTATAATAGAAGATTGATGTGTCACCTTTTGTCAGATGGAACACCGCTTGCATATCAAAACATGCGACCAAAAAGTTTTCGCTACACTTTTTGTTGTCGCTTTTCTTTTCAGCACTACACAATATTTTTTCTTCTTGATGTTATTAAATAAAAAGCAAAGGTTGAATTGATCCTTTTTTGAGACAAAGAAGGATGTACTAATTCTGTGTTGAAAATGTCAGAATACATATAGTAGTTTCCAAAAGGTTTATTGACTTCTTTACATTGGTTAACATAATCCCTATGTAAATCTGCTACACTTTTACCACCTTCGAAAAAATCTCTAGTAGTCTGTGCCCTTAAGTAGTGGCTTTCACTTTTCATAATTGACTGAATATGTTCTCGGATGTCATTTTTTATATTGGAATCTACTTTACGATGTTTACCATGCTTACCTCTTCTGTCTTCAATTACTGATCCGGCTGAAGTGCGCTTTTTATTACTGTATCAATTGTTCTATCATTTATATTTAAAGTTTTTTGAAAAAATGGTTTACATACTCGGATTTTCTTTTGATTTACTTGGAAATAAAATGCATTATAAAGTCGCCTCTCGTTAGGATTTTGGTATCTGGAGTTTGGTTGTATAGTTTCCATATTTTGATTTAAAAATTCTCTTTTTTTTTTGTTAATATCACTCAAACTATAAAACTCATTAAAAATATTCACTCTCTCATTTTGTTCGATTTTCTCTCTACATTTGAATCTGCATTTATCAGTACATGCAGCCTGTACATTTCTCGATGGTATAACCTTTTTGGAATTTGAACATGACATATACTCTTTACTCATATTCCGCAACATCTTAGTTTTTAATTTTATCCACTCTGTGTCTTTACGAATCCTTTTTCTTGTCTTTTTTTCTTCAACGTCTTTCGACTGTCCGATGTTAGATTCTGACTTAGTTACTGAAGTAGAAGATTTTTCTGTTTTTAATTTATGTTTTGAAGTTGAATTAGCTACAGTCTGTACACCGCGGTGAACGTGCTGATCTAGTGGAAGATGATGAGCTTAATAAAGATGAAGAACTATTTAATGAAGAGCTATTCGTTGAAGATGACGAACTGCTTGATGAACATGAATGAGAATCATAATTTGGATCTTTAATATTATCATCACTATGACAATCTTCCAGGTAAAGATAATTCAGAATGTCGTGGACCTGACGTCATTATTTAGTGACGTCGATCTACGGATGAAACAACGAAATCAGGCATTGCTAAAAACATTGAATTCTCTTCGGTGCGTTATCTTAGCGAGACAGAGACGAACTAGTTTTTTGCGTTAGTGAAATAGCTTTAATATTTTTGTATTTTTGTGATCAATCGTTTTTAATATTTTATAGTGAGATACTATTTATGTTCAGTGCGTTTCAAGTCGTTTTTAACATTTTACAGTGAGATCCTAAAAATGTAAGTTAAATTATGTTTATTTTAAAATAATTTATATGTTTTGTACACTTATGACAAATTATTAAATTAAAAAAAAATCACTTTTAAAAGTGTGTAAAATCTGATAACTTTATTGTTTATTTTAATATTTTTTGCAAAAGATTGATATGTTTTGTAAAAGCTTGTCATACATTAATAAATTAAATTTAATTTAAAGTACTTTTCTTTTCAATTCATTTTTTTTTAATGTTTTTCTTAAACTTAATCAATATTTAACATTTTATCTATTATCTAAAACCTACCGGTTTTACAGGGAAAGTAATAATAGAAAAGTGGTCCATAGACAAGGTAGGCAAATTATTTTTAACGTTTATTCATTTATGAAACGGGAAAAAGATTTGGGATATTGCACAACTCCTTTACCCCTAATAGTGCGAGTGGCTCAAGCAACTGGTACCTCAGAAAGTACGGTAAAAAGGATAACTAAGGAAGGTAAAAACAAACTAGCAACTTCACAATTTGTATCACCCAGAACAAGTATTTGCAAGCCCAGCCCCAAGTCATCAGTCAATCCATTTGAGGAACACGTCATAAGAAATACCATTTACACGTTTGCTACCATCTACAAAAGAAGACCTACCATGAAGACTGTTTACGAATCTGTTAGAAACGAAGGAATTGTAACTGGTAAACTATCTTCTTTCAGAAAAATTGTGAAAAAATTAGGATTTAGGTGGAGAAAAGTGGAAGACAATAGAAAAATTTTAATTGAAAAAACTGACATAAGAGCCAAATAAACAGAATTTCTAAGAAAACTGAAAAAATACAAATCTGAAAGTAAGATATTTATTTATTTACATTATAACTAATTTTAAAGTAATTCACAATTTTTTTAGATAGAAATATTGTATATAGTGACGAAACTTATATACATAGTTCCCACACAGTTCCAAAAGGTTGGGATGATGGACGAAACAAGTACATAACATCTCCGGTATCTAAAGGGCAACGACATCTTACATTGTGGTGGTAAAAATGGATTTGTCGAAAATGCCGCTTTTATTTTCAAATCCGGACAAAAAACTGGTGATTATCATGATGACATTAATCACCAGAATTATATGAAGTGGTTGAAAGACAAACTTCTTCCCAATTTACCTTCCAAGTCAGTTTTAGTAATAGACAATGCCTCATATCATAATGTGACTCTTGAAAAATCTTATACATCGGCTTCGAAAAAAAAAAAAATCATAAAAAAATGGTTGACAAAAAGAAATATATTTTTCGATGAAAGAGAAACAAAACAAGCTCTACAGTAAGATACTCACTGCTAAACCTAAAAACCCAGTTTATGCTGTAAACCAATTATTAGCACAGCACGGCCACTCGGTTTTACGTTTACCACCATATCATCCGGAACTTAACCCAATTAAAAGATATGGGCCATTTTAAAAAAATGAAGTTGCAGCAAGAAACACGACTTTTAAATTAGCAGATGTTTTAGAACTAGCAAAAATTAGGCTAAATGAAATCACGCCAGAAATATGGGCAAATACTTGCAGGCATGTTGATAAAGTAGAAAAGGAGTACTTCAGCCGAGAATACATTCTGGATGAAGCGCATGAGATCATTATAAATTTAGATGATGATAGCGAATCATCTGAAACAGAACTCTCTGATAGCGACGACGACGACGACGACTACAACAATGACCTATGAATACAAACTTATCAAGGTGGCAAACTCGGTATTCCGTCCCTCCATGTATATTTTTTAGTTCTTTTAACATTTTATTAATTATTTCATTTCTTATTTAGTTTTAATTAACGTGTATGTGTGTGTCTTATCATGCGTAACCTAACACTCCGTCTCTATGTAGATGCCGCATTAATATTCTTAAATACTTAGAGACTATTCCGGTTGCACAGTCAAATTGAGTATATAATATCAGTACCATCTAGAGAGTGTCATATAACCCCATAAAAGTAAATAGTTTATCACCCTCCATCCAAGTGCAAGAACGAAATTCCAGTTTTCAGTCCAGCGCGCTGAAGAAAGAAGAAGAGAGATTCTTCATTATTGAAGGTAGTGTACATTTAATTTAAATACGCAGACAATTTAATTACACAGATTTTGGATCATTCTCAATAAAAAAGGTTAATTGTAATTTTTCTCTAAAGTTGATCGATTTCAACTTAAACAATTTAAAACTGAAAACAAAAACGAAAATCATGATTTTTGAGGCTCTAAAACACAATTATTTTTGAATTCACCAAACCTTGTTTTATCAGTTCCTGATACTTTAGTTTGGGCTTATTTGATTTTAAAACATTGTTTTTAGTTGTTTGAGGCCCTTATCCCAATGTAAAAATGAATTTATACAAAACTCTTCAATAAATTAGGACCACTTAATGGGCGACATCTTGAACATTATTCTGCAGTTTTTATGAAAGTGATTATGCAAAAAATTTCATGCGGCAAAAAATCTCATGCGAATACTTTTCCCAAGGAAATTTGTTGTTTTCGTCTCGTATATAAACATATTTTGCTGAATTTAAATCCAAAATCCTATTATTTTTTTATCATACATTTATTTGTTATTTATTTATTTGTTCTCTAGATTTTTTTCAATTCGTAAAAGGTTTATTTACAAGCCAAATTAGTGCAATGTAAATATTTTACATGTTTACACAGCAATTGTTATCGGCTGTGAAGATGGGAAGTCGTAAATTTTTATAGCTAAAATAAAAATGCGATGACCAACTGGAATGTTTAAGATTAGAGAAACATAATATGTCATGTTTATTGGAAATACTCACATTATTAGCACGTGCAAATCCTACCCTGTCGCCCAATTTCTTATGAAATTAAAATGGTGCATGTTTTTAGGATCCATTTATTTTTTCGGGCATGCGTATTTACGAGGTCCACGACATTCTGAAACATCTTTAAAAACATCGTGAGTTTAAATCTTCGGTATCGCTAGTTAAATTTTGTTGGTATTTGTAGGGAACGATTCTATATTTTGTTCAACAACATCGGAATCAATGACGTTTTGAAGATTTTCAAATGCTTAACAGCCTTCTTCATTTTCTTTCACATGTTCGTTTTCCACTAAATGTTTTTTGTCTCGTCAGAATCAGTATTAGTAGCATTTGACACAGGATGTATATTCTTGTTTCTCTCTACTTGTTTCTCTTGAAACAGAATATCTTCCCTGCAATTATTTTCTATTTTGTTAATTCCATTATTTTGATCACTGCATAGGGATTCACTTCCCACAAGATGTTTCGTCATGTCTGAATCACTATTATTAAGATTTGCTACATTAGGACCTGTATTATTTTTATAAGAAGATAATAAGTACTCTTCTGGTTTCTTCTTAAAATTAATTTCTTCTAAGCAACTATTTTCTACTTCTTTGATTTGCTTATTTCGATTGCTGCATAGGGCAGCCTGTATTATATGACTTGATCTTGAACTCATTTAGTCTATAAAAACAAAATACACTGTTGACTAGCAAAGAAAAGTACATATCTGATGTATTATAGAAAAAAGCTGCTTGCATATTTATAAAATTCCAAAATTAACTGTAAGCATTCATTCAGCTGAGCAGGATCTGTTTTTGCCCCAAATCACAATATTTGACTGTTACTTTATAAATCTTAATTTTTAATCAGCATTCTTTTATCTATCTGTAGTTTATATCTTATTCATAAAAAAATTTGCATACGAGAACCTTTAACAGTTAGATTAAATTTCAACTTCAGTTTATAACCTGGGGTTTCCCCGGCCAGCCTTTTAGTCAAATAAAATGCATTCTAATAAAGTTTTATAATGCGGAAATCCCATATATTTTATGAATTAGTACCGACTATGAGTGTACTATCGTTTTACGTAAGGACTTTAGATGTTTAAATGGGGAATTCCCCATTGATGTCGCAGGTATTAATTCCTATAAATTGTTGGTAAAGTTATTACGATATGAATTGGGAAAGAACAAATTTTGGGGTCCGGCCAGTAATTCTACGGCGAACATAGAAATAAAGATAAATCTTTGTAATTCTAATTATTGATTACTCCTGGTATTAGTCCACATGGATATTGGTGTGGCTTATTACTTTGAACGTATCTTATTGGGTAATACTGAAATGTAATTGGTCAAATTTTTCGGAAGTGCATACACTATAACCAAATCTGGCTTTGCTGTTATCAGGTAAAAATTGCTTCTCATGTTTCAAAGGCGGCAAGCACTTAATAAACACAATAACAGTGTCGTCGTGATAAACTTATTTTTATTTATTTTAAACTTATTACATAAATTATTTTATTTTTATAGTAAAATTGTAGTCTCATTTTTTAATTCTCAAATTAATAAGCACATTACATTTCATTTGCATTATGTATGTATATACTTTTAATCATCAATTTTAAATTTTAATAAAAGTTAAGGAGTTTTTAGGGTCCAGTCCCGAATAATTCAGAAATATAAACCTTATTTGTAATTGATCACTAACGGTATTGTCCACATTGCAGCTGTGGTTTATTACTTTCTACGTATCTTATCGGGTACTACTGAAGTGTAATTAGTCAAATTCTTCGGAAGTTATTACGCTCAAACTTGATCGTTATCTGGTCAAAAATGCCTTCTCAGTTTTCTCATACTAAACGATATATTCAGTATCGTCATGTACGACAGCAAGTTCACGTATATTTTTAATATTTTTGTGCAAACAGTAGTGTTGTGTTTTAGTTAAGTTTGAGTTAAGACAGTAGAAAATAAGTTGAAAATACATTAAAGATGGCTTTTTGGCGACCATTTGAATGTGATACCAACGAGAGTTGGTAGCTGCTAGCGGCAATCCAACGGACGATTTAGGTATGTGAATTCGTATTTAAAACTAGTTTAATAATTAGTTGTATAGGGATGCTCGGTCATAATATTCACCCTTAATCTACTTTTCTTAACAATTAAAAGTAAATATATTTCTTTTAGATCCAACACCAATGAATTGGGAATTTGTAAATAAGGACTTACATATTCAAGCGCAAAGGATTATTCTAAATATATATTCCTGTTTAAGAGGCGAAAATAGTACACTTTCGGAAAATAATATTGTGTTAAGGATATGAGAACTTACCAAGAACGCGATGAAGACTGCAGCGGGTCCAAGAAGATTCTCCAAGAACGACTAAAGAATGTTCTTAACAATAATGGAGATGACCCAGAGACATTTCATTTTCAATCAGCAGAAGAAGCAGTTTTAATGAAGATCGAAGAGAGTTCCAGAAAAAATGATAAGAAATTCGAAAATGTGTCTAGAAGATTCGACGAGAAATTTGAAAACGTCTCGCAAATGATTGAAGAAACTTCAAAAAGCAATGACGATAAATTAGAGAACGTTTCCAAAAGATTCGATGAAACATTCGAAAATGTATCTAGAAGATCGACGAGACTTCACAAATAATTAAAGAAATATGTATCCAGAACAATGAGAAATTTAAAGAAGTTTCAAGAACAGTCGATAAGATACAGAAAAATGTAAACGTCAAGATAGAAGACGTAGAAGAGAAGATCAAACAGTTAGAGAACATGATAACCAATACACAAGTGCTACCACCAGCTAACGCAGTAGCCTTAGATCCGATATTGAAAGAAGAATCACCTAGAGACGAAACGACACATCATATGAGATTCAAATTGCCATCATTTGATGGAAAGTCCTCTTGGTTCATATACCTTAGACAATTTGAAGCTACTCGTATTGCGACAGCCAATCATTGGACAGAACAAGAAAAAGCTGTTTCCTTAACTGCTGCCTTACGAGGTGATGCTGCGGATATCCTAAGATCGATTCCTAAGGGTCAAGAAAAATGTTGCCAGTCCTTGTTCACTCGACTAGACAACCGTTACGGAGATGCCCATCTACAACAAGTCTACAAGGCGCAACTAAGAAGTAGAGTTCAACGAGCAAGTGAAAATTTGCAAGAGTTTGAAGCAGATGTTGCTCGTATAGTGCGGTTGGCTTATCCGGAGGTACCAGACAACATTTTGGAAGAAATTGCTGTAGATACCTTCGTCAATGGGTTAAAAGAAAGTGAATTACAGAAAGCTTTACGACTAGCAAGACCGAAAGTTCTAGATGAAGCGCTCGCTATTGCTTTGGAACATGAAACAGCTAGTCAAACTTCACGGAGCCATCGAGTAAGAACCATTAAAGAAGGCGACGAACCAAATGATGAACGTCTGGAAGAAATGGCACGAAAAGTAGTTCGTAACACGATGCCGAAGAGACTCGAGCCCAGATGTTGGAATTGTGGTGATGTAGGTCACATTCGCCGTAATTGCAAGAAAATGATAACAACAGTCGGAAAACTAGAACGGGTCGACAACAAGGGGCAACTGCCGACCTTGAGAAACACAGCCCCCATAGTAACTGTAAACATTGCGTCCTCCGGTGGAATTCATAGCTTGTACATCGAGGGTCGTATTAATAATAAATGTATATCGTTTTTGGTAGATACAGGTGCAACAAGAACTATAGCATGGCCAGAAGTAGTACGAGACCATATTAAATTATCGCCTGCAACAGTAAAGCTTAGAACAGCAACTGGTGAGATAATTAATACATATGGCGAGGCTAATATGTCAGTATCCATTGTCCAGACCAGAGTGAAACATCGAGTATTAATTGCAGAGATCTCCGACGAGTTCATATTGGGGATGGATTTACACGGAAAGTTGGGGCTGTATTGAATGTCAAAGATGGAGTTCTCGAGATCAGTGGTGAAGAGTTGCCGTTTCATGAAGACAAAGATGTTATCAACTTAATAACTACTTGTGACGTAACAATACCCGGTAATAGTGAGAAAATTTTGATGACCAGACCTGATGGTTACTGCCGAGAGGGAAGTTTAAGGTTGGTCGAAGATGTGAACAATGCCGAGTTCCTAACGGCAAAAGCTTTTTTGAGAATTCGAGATGTCGTTCCTGTAAGAGTTATGAATTTAAAGGGAACTGCTATTAAGTTAAGTAAAAGAACTTTGATCGGACAGTGTGTTCCCGTGGCTTCGATTTGTTCCATGAGGACTAATGAGAAACCGTCGAAATCTAAGTATCCAAACGAGCTTGTTGAGTCGATGATTAAAACGTGCCAAGATCTTGATGATGAACGAACTAAAAAAGTGAAGTCTATGCTGATAGAATTTCAAGATGTTTTTGCCATTGATAAGAAGTATAAGCAAAAGGATGCAAAACAAGCATAGTAAAGCAGAAAATTAATACCGGAGACGCTCAGCCAATCAGACAACAACCTAGACGACTTCCATTTGCGAAAAGCGATGAAGCCGAAGACATCATCAAAGATATAAACAAACAAGGGGTAATTGAACCATCAAACAGTCCATGGACATCACCAGTCGTTTTAGTAAAGAAGAAAGATGGTTCAACACGTTTTTGTATTGACTACCGACAGCTCATTGCTGTAACTAAAAAAGATAGTTATCCTTTGCCCAGAATAGACGATACTTTGGATACACTTTCTGGTTCTCGTTGGCTCTCCACACTTGATCTGAAAAGTGCATATTGGCAAGTAGACATGGAGCCAGCTGATAGTGAGAAAACCGCATTCTCGATAGGATCAGGGCTTTGGCAGTTCACAGTTATGCCCTTTGGTTTAGGTAATGCCCCGGCCACATTTAAAAGATTAATGGAGGCAGTTTTAAGAGGTCTAACATGGAAAACATGCCTGGTTTATTTGGATGATGTAATTGTAGTAGGAAGATCCTTCGATGAACGTGCCAATAATCTGACAGAAGTCTTTCAACGATTGCGGGCAGCGAATTTGAAGTTGAGTCCGAAGAAATGTCTTGTCGAAACCAGAAAGAAACTATTGCGTTACCAGGAGAGAATTGATAGGCGTAGTAAAGGCTTGCGAGCATAAATACCTGTATGGCAGAAAGTTTCTTCTTCGCACGGATCACGCTGCTCTAAAATGGCTCCTACAATTCGGTAATCCAGAGGGCCAGATGGCAAGATGGTCAGAACGATTACAAGAATATGATTACGAGATCGAACACAGGGCTGGAAGAGTTCATTTAAATGCTGATGCCCTTTCCAGACGGCCGTGCAGTGCAAATTGTAATCACTGTCTTAAATTAGAAGATCGTGCCTCGTGAGACGAACCACCGTCATTAATGATCAATGGCAGCCTCAACAGCTACAAGACGCTCAAGCAGATGATCCATGTATAAAAAGAGTATTGGATTGGATGCGTCGAAGTGAGAGACCTTCTTGGCAAAACATTAGTGCATATAATCCCGAAGTCAAGTGTTACTGGAGCCAATGGAATTGCCTAGTACTAAAAGGTGATCTTCTGTATAGAACCTTTGAGAACGATGATGGTACAGAATCTAAACCTCAGTTGATTGTACCTAAAAGTAAAGTGTCAGATGTATTGCGTCAGTTGTATGACGGTGCATCAGGT